TGTAACTGGATTGCCTTAGCTCTAAATTGGCTACCTGGCCTGGGCAAAGTACAAGCTGAGCTGCTCCTGGGCAAGAAATTCCTTTGAGTGAAGACAAAAGGCAAGCTCCTGGAGAGATAAGACTCCTGAGCATTAAGACTCCTGAAAAGCTTCTTTGGTCTTTTGACAAAAAGCAATGCTTAGATAACTCCCAGGGCATAAGGACCCATGGACAATTTCCTAACATTATCAACACAGGTTTTGCTTAATGCATAACTATGTGACTTCCTCTTAATTTACTCTTTTCTTAAAACAATCACTAACTACTCTCTGCTAGTCTTATTTAACCTCTTCCTAAAACAAACACTCGCTACTCTCTGCTAACCTTAAGTTAGCCATTAGCTTCTCTTTAGCCTATCACTGATGACTCTGCTAACACAATTTATTCCTTCCCTAGGACTCCTAAATCCTTTGCTAACAGCTCATCCTTTCCCAGACCCTGATCCATTAAAGTCATAGTTAAACATCCATATATATGAAAGCTATCACAAAGATGTATAGTGTAGTATGCCATAAAGTAGCAGGAAGAGGATGCATTGTTCCCCTCTTCCTTTAAAACTTTTATGCTGATTTCTTATTAACTTACCTGATGCATTATTGTAACTAATTCTTGCTAAACAGTATAAATAAAGACCTGCAAAAAGATGGGCAGGAAGACTTGTACCCAACTCCGATTCCCGTGTCTTCCTCACTCCCCTTTCCCCTTTTTCTCCTTTTCCTCTTTTTTAGGAATCTCCGCTCACAGACACCTTCCCACCTTAGGGTCCTGCCTGTCCTGCCTCCAGACACCTTGATAGTTGGAGCTGTTCTCCAACAGTATTTAGAGCTAACGTTAAAGATTACTTTCAAAACTGCCATTGAATGTTTTCTATATGCCAAGGACTGCATTTAACATGCATAATGTCATTAATTCTCACATAAATACGATTAATGCCAATGTATTTTTTGTGTAGAAACTGACTAGCACAGTTAAAATGTTTCAAGTTTATGAAGCTCACAAGTAGAGCTGCAGTCTAATCTCACATTTATTTGAATCCTAAGCGTACACATTGATCTATACATTTGCACTACCTCAGTATCACAGAAAATGGGTAGATAAGTCAACTTAACTATCCAAAATCACAGATCAAGTTAGCAACCTATTTGGAACTAAAAGATACTAAGCAGAATTTACCAGGCATTAGGGCAAATCGTTTTTGAGATTTCTTATTCCAGCTCTTTCCATTCTTTACCTCATGCAGTTGGAATGTCTGAAGTTGAAATGGTATGATTTGTCAACTTGTTCTTGGAGTATATTATCAGTCAGATGATTCAGCAAATAGCTATTTAAGACATATCCTGTACTTCTACCCATTTCTATATGAAGCCATACTGTATATCTGTCTACTAAGAATAAAAAAAAAACAGTAAAAGGCAAAACCACCTTACACTACATACATTCTAATATATGCACATTTAAGTTTTTGTTTTAGCAGATGATTTGTACGATATTGCCCTAAGTAACATTCACATAGATGTCTCTCACCTGTTCTAAATGATCTGAATCACTTTCTTGCAGTAAAGGACGAAGTGTTTTTTGTGGCTCCTGAAGCTTTTCTTTCAGTTTAGAATTTTCTTGCTGTTGTTGAAATAGCTGATCCTGAAGACTAACAACACTTTGCCGGAGCATAGCTTCATTTGATTTTGTAGTTTCAAAACAAATATGTAACTCATTGTATAGCTGTATCAAAAAATATATCCATATTTATTAGTAATCAATAGTTATAGCTGTGTAAGTATATACAAATACAAACAGGTATAAACATAAACATATACATGTACATATGTATATATAGTAACTGTGTATGACATAAGCCTTGCCCTCAAATCATTTTAATTGACCAAAGAGAGAAACAAGATATAAATTCATGAAAAATTAAGTAATATAATTATTAACATTATAATTGATTTTAAAGACAGTAATTGTTGGTTAGTGTAGTAAATAATAGTATGTTGTATTTCTAAAGAAAATGAAAACACCCCTCTCCAGGTATATTTAATTTTGAAAGGTTCATGAAAAAGAATTATAGGAATTAAATGAAAACAAATTCATTCTAAAGATTGCATAAATGTGAAAAAATTGTATGGTGATAGGAAAGGATAGAATGGGTACATAAGAGATAGCAACCTAACTGCAATATATACATTTGACACTTAAAAAAAAGTATTTTATTAGTACTTAAGGTTTAATTATATATTCTCATTTAATGTAAATTATAATCTACTTCTAAAGCAAGGGCGGAAAGTAAAGTTCAGGCAATAAGATTATAGACAGAATGTAGATTATTGAATGTAGGGAGATGGATATGTTCCTGCAACCAAGAGGATATCATTGAAGACCATCAACAGAGTGTGATAAAAGGTTTGAATGCATGATAGATAATATAATTTTTTTTTCAACTCAAAGCAACATACACTAAATAAATTGGATAAAACTTGACTAACGAAAACTGCATATAAGAGCATAGAGTCATACACGGTTAAAAATGGCATTCCTCTAATACTCATGAACTCACTTTGTGATGGAAAAATCTAACATGACTGTGATTAAATGAGGCATAATTCAATTGTGATAACTTATTTACATAAATAACCCATATTTGTATTTGCTGATGACACTGGGAAAGTGACCCCAAAACTATGGTTTGTATGATTTGTTGCTATTGTTGTTTAAGCAAAGTTAATACTGAAACCTTGTAACAAAAAGCAACATTCTAAAGGGGATACTCTCATAATTATGTAGCTAATGCACAAGGATTTTAGGTTTGTTCATCCAAATGAAGATAGGGAAACTGGCCTTGTCTCACGGTAAGAAAATTACAAAAAAGATGGCAGAGCATTTTTGTATGCATACTACATTGTAAAACAGTAGAAATGCTTGTAAAAACGTATCCTTACTGTTTTTTCCCCTCAAAATAGCTTTTCATAAAAGCAAGAACTTCCAGATTCCTTCTCTCACATATATTACCTAAATATACTTTTTTGTTTTCCATACCTCGGTATTACTATAGATACTTAAAAATACTTCATTTTATAGCCAAGAACAAGTAATTTTTTATAAAGGTTAACTATATGATTTATAAAGTATTTATGAAAAATTTCAGGATGTAAATTTGAATTACCTTCCAATTTTTACCTTAAGATGGTAGGGTGTATGTCCAATATACTTTCCATATCACCAGATATTCTAGGGAGGAAGAAAGAGTAGGAATCTGACAGCTTTGAGAAACGATGAAGAAGGTATTATAGTGACCTACCTGTTTTACTTTCTTGATTGAGAACAGAGTAGAAATGACAAAAAACAAAAATCTGGAAACAAGCTGAGATGACTAAAGAGATTTGAAGCTAGGATGTGTAAAGATCTACCCAATAGCATAGAATCACCTCTTCAATTCTCTTTATTTGTAAAGTTTTATTAACACCAGTTTTTACCCAGTCAACACAAATTAATCTCTTTGAAGAAAAATAACAGAAAATAACATAATAGAATTTTTCATTTCAAATATTGGAGAATCTCATGAATACTGATAAGGTTGTGACAAGAAAAGCCTCATAGTTTCCTTCCCATTTTTCAATGTATAGGAATGATGAAAATGTGAGGTCAGGAATAAAGATTGGCCATCAGTGCCAAGGGTGTGGTAACTTTTTCTCTTGGATATCATGTCTTGGGATCTTCATTCATAAATATAAAGCTCTGGGGCCTATTCATTCACAGAAGATGGGTCTATCTCGTTATCTCTTTTCTAGCATATTCTCTCTGAATACTTTCTTGCTTTATGTGTCTTCCATAAAAATGAAGACACATCTACTTTATGTTCTATATTTTTCTCTCTGCCACAAAGCTTATACAGCTGTACTTCTTGACAGAAGCTGCCCTGTACATATCTGATGTGATTCACTGTGTAACTGAACATGGATACAGACTCTATCATTTTCTAGAGATCCATCCTTCTAAGCAGCAGATGAAAAAAGACTGAGAAAGCAAGAAACATGATATAGACCAGGCATGCTCATGGAATTTCACAAATTCTTTTATTCTGAATTCTTATTCCAAGAATACATGTCCAACTTGCCTATTTTCTTTGACAGCCAGCTGGACTGCACTTATTTTATAGTAATAAGACAACTTAGTTGTGAGCTCAGTAAAGAAGTTAAAGACAGCCCTACATCCATTTTTAGTTGGAGTTTCAGTCTACCAGTAAAGTGGGCTTTAAAAGCCTTCAGGAGGTTAAATCAAATTTCATTTCTGAATTACTTGTTTTAGTCAGTCTAAGAATACAGAATGCTTATTTCTTTTGGAGATCTTAAAAAGATTTCAGGTGTTCCAGCCACTTAGCTGACACCATCTCATTCTCATCAATAATAGGAGATCTCAATTTAAAAAAAAAAAAAGGGTAAGAGAGTAAATCAGGCAATACTAAAAATTCATTCATCTATATTGGCTTAGGCATTTTTTCCCCTAACATAGCTATAATCACAATTTCTTACAGCAGTGTTCAGAGAGGATCTGTTCTGTACAATTTCTTTCCTCTTATCCAAAGCTAACCCTTTTTCAAAGATCTAACCATTTTTCAAAAAGCTGTTCTGGAGTAAATAATAATCTTTTGTAAGATTTCTAACTATAAAAACAATTAACCGGGTCTTCCCTGGTGAGTGAGTTAAAGCACAGCACTAAGAAGCTAAAGCCACTTCAGCATGAGTTTGATTCCTGGCCAGGAGGTGACCCACATGGTGTGGCAGACCTCTCCTGACTCACCTGATGCTCCCCTCGGCAGTGTATTTTAATAGGCCTGTTCTGCTCTCCACTCTCTCTGGTGAAGACTTTCACCACCCCTGCACCTCTGGCTTGTACATGCCTCCATATGCATAAATAAATAAACCTTTTTAAAAAATAAACCATACAAGGAGAACCTTCACAGTTTAGAAGTCAGAATCATTGCAATATACAAGCAATTTTTATGCTTACTGTTCTTCATGCTATTTTTTGTTGAAGAAATTAAAGTAAAAAAGGTTAAAAGGGAGCCCCCTGGTGACACAACAGGTTAGGATGCAGCACTGGAAGCTGGCAACTGCTGCTTTAGTGCAAGTTCAATCCCCAGCCAAGGAGATGGCCCACATGGCGTGGCAGACCTCTCCTGACCCTCCCGCTGCTCCCTTCAGCAGTGTACTTCATAAATCTGCCTCTTCTGCTCCCCACTCTGTCTCAGGTGAAGCCTCTCACTGTCCCTGCAATTCTGACTTGTACCCCAGTTCTGCATGAATAAATAAATAAATCTTAAAAAAAAAAAGAAAAAGGTTAAAAGGAACTGCAGGGAACAGAAGACAAGTTACCTCCAGAAACAGGATCCTAAACCCCAATCCTTTTACTATTCAGGAGCTTAGACTGAAGTATTGTTTTTCTCCTATTTTCATTAGTGTTGAGGAACAACATATTTACCTTAACAATTCTGGAAATGTATATGCTCTGTGATACAATGAATGCTTAAGTAAAAAATTTTCCATGTTTAGTGAGTAAGTATACCATTCGTGGCTCTGATTGAATCAGTAAATTTTACAAATGAAAATTCCATCTGTTTAATTGCAGAAAAATAAGGGAAAACTGATTTAACACATAGTTGAGACTGAAAGTATGTATAAGCTAACTCCTAATTTCTGGATATTGATATTAGCTATGTCATGGAAGTATCATTAAATAGAACAAAAGGTAATAACATACATACATTATGTATGTTACCATTAAATAGAACAAAAGGTAAAAATATGCATACATTTTCCTCCATCCTCATTTCATTCATCCTACCACTGTGGAATTATTTTTATATTTTCAAAGAATAAATGAGTACTATGATTTATAGAAACAATGTGAAAAAGGAGGGAAGTAGAGGGCAAGTGAAAAAAAAAGTGGAGAAGAAATGAAAAAATAAAAAACAGAGAAACTCCATTAAAAACAGTAAATTAAGGGCCCTCCTTAGTGGCGCAGCAGGTTAAAGCACAGCACAAAGAAGCTTAAACCACTTCTGCATGAGTTCAATCCCCGCCTGCCCTGGAGGAGATCCACATGGCGAGGCAGACCTCTCCTGACCCGCCCGCTGCTCCCCTCAGCAGTGTACTTCATCTATCTGTCTGTTCTACACCGCACTCTGTCTCTGGTGAATCCTCTCACCCTCCACATCTCTGGCCTGTACCCTAGTTCTGTACGAATAAATAAATAAATCTTAAAAAAAAACAAACAGTAAATTAAGAAGATCTAACCCTTTAAGATGTTTATTTAAGAACTGGAGATAAACTATTAACATAGTTATTCAACCCACCTAAGTCTTACAGCTAAGCTCCAATTCTTATTTGGAATTAATAACAATAATCTATATGAAAGTATACTTGGAAATTTTAATTTTCAAGTAAACATTCAAATCACTGTTTCATGGATATCAAATTATTCAAATTCATTGGGAAAAGTCTAGAAAAATACATGTGGAAAAGGAATAAAGACAAATATTAAGCAAAATGTTCCTGTACTATAGTAACTTGATGTAAATGAACTTTGGAATCATGAACAGTACCACAACATTATATTTTTATGTACAACAAAACAGTGTGATCATACCTAAATTTAAAAATCCTGAAGTCTGCAACTAATCCATTTTCTGGGGGTAAGAAAAGGTCTAATATAAAATGTGTAAC